CTGTCGAGAGTGACGGGAAATTTTAGTATCTGTCAGGAGTGAGACGGGGTTTACCAGGTATCTGAAGTGAGAGGGGTTTACCATCTGTCTGAAGTGAGGAGAGTGTACCATCTGTCAGGAGTGAGAGGGGGTTTACCAGCTGCCTGAAGTGAGTGGGGTTTACCATCTGGCTGAAGTGAGGAGAATGTACCATCTGTCAGGAGTGAGAGGGGGTTTACCAGGTGTCTGAAGTGAGTGGGGTTTACCATCTGTCTGAAGTGAGGAGAGTGTACCATCTGTCAGAGTGAGAGGGGTTTACAGATGTCTGAAGTGAGAGGGGTTTACCATCTGTCTGAAGTGAGGAGAGTGTACCATCTGTCAGGAGTGAGAGGGATTTGCCAGCTGCCTGAAGTGAGGGTTTACCAGGTGTCTGAAGTGAGAGGGTTTACCATCTGTCTGAAGTGAGAGAGTGTACCATCTGTCAGGAGTGAGAGGGGTTTGCCAGGTGTCTGAAGTGAGGATAGTTACCAGCTGTCGAGGAGACTTTACCAGCTGTCAATATTCCAGTACCACCTGTCAACACGCTGTCATCTTCACCAGCTGCCAACAGTGATGGGGGAACTTTACCACCTGACTATATATGAGAAACTTTACCGACTGTAGAGGTAAACACCTCCACCATCTGTTAACGAAGGAGGGACTTGGACAGCTGGTGCAGTACTAGAGACCTTCACCAGCTGTCAGGGGAGCAAAATAACACCACCACCTTCTTGTAAACACAGGGAACTTAACCACCTTCCTTGGTATGTGTTCTCTCTCTCTCTCTCTCTCTCTCTTTTTTTTTTCCTCTCTCTCACACACACACAAGATATTCACCAACATAACAAGATCATCAGATATTCCACTGATTCACCCTCACTCACTCTCCCTCACAACTGATTCACCCTCATTCCTCTCCCCTCTAATTCACCCTCCCTCCTCTCCTCAAACTCATTCACCCCCACTCCTCTCCTCACAACTCATTCACCCTCACTCACTCTCCTCACTGATTCACCTCACTCACTCCTTCCCTCACAACTGATTCACCCTCATCACTCTCCCCTCCCAACTCATTCACCCCTCACTCACTCTCCCTCACAACTCATTCACCCTCACTCACTCTCCCTCACAACTCATTCACCCCTCACTCTCCCTCACAACTCATTCACCCTCACTCCCACTCCCTCACAACTCATTCACCCTCCACTCACTCTCCCTCACAACTCATTCACCCTCCTCCTCTCCCTCACAACTCATTCACCCCTCACTCCACTCTCCCTCACAACTCATTCACCCTCACTCCTCTCCCTCTGCTCATTCACCTCCTCTCCCTCTCCCAAATTCACCCTCCCACTCACTCTCCCCACAACTCATTCACCCTCACTCCTCTCCCTCACAACTCCCTATTCACCCTCACTCACTCTCCTCACAACTCATTCACCCTCCTCACTCTCCCTCACAACTCATTCACCCTCACCCACTCTCCCTCACAACTCATTCACCTCACTCACTCTCCCTCACAACTATTCACCCTCACTCACTCTCCCTCAAGCTCATTCACCCCTCACTCACTCTCCCTCACAACTCATTCACCCTCACTCACTCTCCCTCACAACTCATTCACCCTCACTCACTCTCCCTCACAACTCATTCACCCTCACTCACTCTCCCTCACAACTCATTCACCCTCACTCACTCTCCCTCACAACTCATTCACCCTCACTCACTCTTACTTATTCTTTCGTCTTTATTCATTTATTTATTGTTTTTGTTATTCCCATTTTCTTTGTAGTTTGTTATTTATCTAGTTCTTTTGTTTCTCTTTTATTTTGTCTCTTTTATATTGTTTCTTTTATTTTGTTTCTCTTTTGTTTAATCTTTCGTTTTTCGTTCTAAGATAAAATGGGTCTTAGGTTTGGTTAGTTTAGGTTAGATTTAGTTTGGTTACTTTAGGTTAATTTAGGTTTAGTTTGGTTGGGTTAGGTTTAGGTTAGGATTAGGTTAGGTTGGGTTACTTTAGGTTTAGTTTGGTTACATTAGGTTAATTTAGGTTTAGTTTGGTTGGGTTAGGTTTAGGTTAGGATTAGGTTAGGTTGGGTTACTTTAGGTTTAGTTTGGTTACATTAGGTTAATTTAGGTTTAGTTTGGTTGGGTTAGGTTTAGGTTAGGATTAGGTTAGGTTGGGTTACTTTAGGTTTAGTTTGGTTTGGTTAGGTTGATTTAGTTAGGTTAGGTTAGATTAGGCTAGGATAGGTTAGGCTAAGTAATGGTAGGTTAAGTTAGGTAAGGTGACTGTTAGATTAGGTTTGGTTAGGTCACTGTTAGGTTAGGTTAGAAAATTAGTCTAATAATGACCGATATAAGATATATTTAGTCACTAGAAACCAACTTTAAGTTCTAACTATTTATATGATGTTTCCCCCGAAGGACTATACTGTAGTTCCCGCCCAGCCAATAGTTGTTGATATGACCACGAACCTAAAATATTTCCACCAGGAGACTCAATACAGCGTGACTTAATCCACCTTAAGCTTATAAAGGTTTACCGAGATTAAGAAAAGATTGGTCAAGCTGGGTAAAAGTTTGTGTGTGTGTGTAAGTGTGTGTGTGTGTGTGTGTGTGTGTGTGTGTGTGTGTGTGTGTGTGTGTGTGTGTTGCCTGTGGTGTTGTGGGAAAAATGTTGAATGTAAACACAAATATTCTCTTTCTGTCAACATTAAAGAACCAGGAATTAAAACAATGGCATTTTTTTTTTACTGTTAAGATGATTAAATTGTTACTACACAGGAGAGAGAGAGAGAGAGAGAGAGAGAGAGAGAGAGAGAGAGAGAGAGGGAGAGAAAAGAGCCAGTATGCCCAACTCGTTTAAACAGAAGCGAGATACACTATTTCTCCCTCACGCTGCAGCTCCCAGACCGTAACACACCGGACCAAATTTGGACTTGCATTACACTTTCACCTTCTCAGTGCAATACTTCTGCTAATTTGCATAATGGTGTTGCAGTACGGATAAATACTTCACTATAAATACGTATTGAGATCTCCTTTTTATAGTGGACTTAGAAAGATATAGATAAATGACGGTAAATAAGAAGAATTTTGTTTATACATTTGAAGTTGGATTGAAATAGGTATGTGATCTGCCTGTCTGTCTGTCTGCTTCTTTCTCTTTCCCTGTCTATGTTTTGTCTCTTTCTCTCTTTATTTCTCCCCGTCTATGTCTTTCCTTCTTTCTCTCTTTCTCTCTCTACGTAAACCATTCCCCGCCTGCCATGTCCATACTCTCCCTCGCGGCTCCTTCACTCAAGTATCCCCGGTAATCCAATATGACGGACGTAATCCATTTGGTTTACATTTCATCATCATAATTTATTTAGAATTTTACCTAGTGTATTTTTTTTACGATATTTAAGTTGTTTATTAATGGGGGGGAAATTGTACTCTGTTTACAATTTAAATAGATATGAATGGGTTTTTCTACTAATTATCATCCTATTTACTATTCGTATAATAGGGCTTTTTCATGAGGTTTCGCTAATAGGAATTAATGTTTTTTTTTTAGTATTATTATTCTAATCGCTATAATTATTACTGAGAAATATTTATAAATCAAGGTATAGATTTTTATCATCGTATAAAATAAATATCATCCAGACATAGAACATAGGTGTAATTTACCGTATAATAACAATGCTTAAAGCTGCCATTCGTAGTTGGTCTCCGGGAACACCTTTGGTATGGTGAGTGTGGTTGGTAGTGGTGCTGGTAAATGATGTATTTTCTTTACATTTCTTTCGTTTTTAAATTGATTTATTTTTTTCTTCATTCAAATAGGTTTTATTTCCAGGTCTTTTATTTTATTTTATTTTATTTTGTTATTATTTGTGTACTATAATAATAATGATGATGATGATGATGATGATAATTATTATTATTATTATTATTATTATTATTATTATTATTATTATTATTATTATTATTATTATTATTTTATTATTATTATTATTATTATTATTATTATTATTATTATTATTATTATTATTATTATTATTATCATTATTATTATTATTATTATATTTTTATTATTATTATTATTATTATTATTATTATTATTATTATTATTATTATTATTATTATTATTATATTATATTATTATTATTATTATTTTATTATTATTATTATTATTATTATTATTTTATTATTATTATTATTATTATTATTATTATTATTATTATTATTATTATTATTATTATTATTATATTATTATTATTATTATTATTATTATTATTATTATTATTATTATTATTATTATTATTATTATTATTATTATTAGTATTATTATTATTATTATTATTATTATTATTATTATTATTATTATTATTATTATTATTATTATTATTATTATTATTATTATTATTATTATTATTATTATTATTATTATTATTATTATTATTATTGTTATTATTTTATTATTATTATTATTATTATTATTATTATTATTATTATTATTATTATTATTATTATTATTATTATTATTATTATTATTACTATCACAGTAACTAGTAATAATGGCATGGATGGCTACTTCACTTCCTTGCCATTCATCACCACACTCCTACCCTCCTGTACCCTCCGGGGCTTAGAAACCTTCCCTATCGAGATAGATTACGGAAACTAAACTTGCATTCCCTAGAAAGACTAAGAGTGCGGGGAGATATGATAGAAGTATTTAAGTGGGTGAAAGGAATCAATATAGGAGATATAGATAAAGTTCTTATAATATCTAAGCAGAATAGGACTCGTAGCAACGGATTTAAGTTGGATAAGTTTAGGTTTAGGAGGGAGATGGGAAGAAACTGGTTCACAAATAGGGTGGTAGATTAGTGGAACAAGCTTAGCAACTTTGTAGTAAGTGCTGGAACGCTGGAAAGTTTTAAGGGATACTAGATAGATTCATGGACGATAGAGAGTGGTTGTAACTC